ACGCACGTACGCACACACACACACACACACACACAAACACACACACACACACACACACACACAAACACACACACACACACACACACACACAAACACACACACACACACACACATACACACACACACACACACATCACACCACACACACACATCACCACACAAACACAAACATGTACAGCAACATTATATGCACACACGTTGCTTATGCTCAATACGTTGCTTTATGACTCACTCCTGCACGACCTCTCTATCATGCCTGACCACTCTCGTTGTCTCCATGTTCCATACCTTCCATCTCGACGAGTGATAGATCTATTCAAAATCTAAACGATAACATCATCACACAACAGAATAGCACTAGACATAAACATCAAAGCGTATTACCATTATGACGTTCCTTCCGCCTTTCACCTCCCTCTTCTCCTACCTCAGTTGACTACAAAAATTTCATCAATTTTTCCTTCTCCTGCTAACTTCCTGCCTATCTTACCTAAGTCAACCAATATGGAAATTTTCGCCCATAATGTTTATAGTGTTTTTTATCGGCGTTTTAATGACGATTTTCGTTGGATCTAGAATGACGGTGTTCACCTGACGAGGATGCAGCATACAACCACAGCCGCGCTTCAAAGCTACTGCCCTTACTACGAGCGTCTCCCATACAAAACTAATACTCATCACATACACGCCGCAAAAAAACCACAAGCCTCACTCCACTATTGCTTACCTATGTCGCTTCGCATCTCTCAAGTACATCCTTTGATTAACCGCTAAACTGTCATTTGTCTCCCTCGGTCATGTTTGGATCGATGTCAAGCCAAGCGTCGTTGAGAATACAATATGCAGCCCATCTTGTAATTCGACAAATCGCATTATAGTTGTATGATTTTGTATTTGCTGTTAGGCGTTATTTGTGAGAAGCCGTTAACTAATGCCTTTTATGAATTGTTAATTCGATGATATTAGTGTACATTAATTTCACGACATGCTTGCCAAGCTAGATCATTTCCGATGCATAGTTGCTCAACGTAGCAAATACGAACGATCTAATGGATTCTAATAGTTTTATGTCCGTTTTGATTGCGCTTGCACCATTTTAGAATTTATTAGCTTAAAGTTATCTTAACAGCACTGACTAAGTCGATTTATAAGCGTGAGTTTAGCCTTTTCTCATTCAGCAGTAGCAGTAGCAGCAGCAGCAGCGCAGCAGTAATAGCAGTAGCAGCAGTTGCAGTAGCTGTAGCAGCAGCAGCACTACCACCACTAGCAACAGCAGTAGCAGCAGCAGCAGCAGCACTATCCCCACTAGCAGCAGCACCACCACCACCACCAACAACAACAACAACAACACCAGCGGTAGCAGCAGCAGCAGCAGTAGCAGCAGCACCACCACCACCACCACTACCAGCAGCAGCAGCAGCAGCATCAGCAGCAGCAGCAGCAGCAGCAGCAGCAACAGATGTGTATATGTGGTGTGTATGAGGCAAGCCGGGCAGCGCGCCACGTGGGACGTGGGTGGGTGAGACGGGTCCCGAGCGGGCCAGTCCCTCAAGGTAAGCAACATTACGGGCGTAACACGCGCGTGCTGCAGTCGATTACTATTAATAAAAGAATTGATGCTTAACAGTAGCGATGGTGTGCGTGTGAACCAGTGCGTGGGAAAGAGAAAGCGAGCAGCAAAGCGGAAAGCGTCGTTACTGCAACATGCATTCTAGACTAGAAATAAAAACATGCGTATACATATGTGCATCGCTCTCTTTCTCTCTCTTTCTCTCTTTCTCTCTTTCTCTCTCTCTCTCTCTCTCTCTCTCTCTCTCTCTCTCTCTCTGTCCGTCCGTCTGTCTGTCTGTATGTATGTATGTATGTATGTATGTCTGTCTGTCTGTCTGTCTGTCTGTCTGTCTGTCCGTCCGTCCGTCTGTCTGTCATTCTGTCCGTCCGTCTGTCCGTCTGTCTGTCTGTCTGTCTGTCTGTCTGTCTGTCTGTCCGTCTGTCCGTCTCTCCGTCAGTCTGTCTGTCTGTCGATCTGTCGGTCCGTTTGTCCGTCTGTCTATCTGTCGGTCCGTTTGTCCGTCTGCCTGTCTGTCTGTCTCTCTGTCTGTCTGTCTGTCTGTCTGTCTGTCTGTCTGTCTGTCTGTCTGCCTAGACTCCAGCGATCGGTCTCATCTATCGATTTACCTCCAGTTACGATTAATTGTTTCTTACCGATTATCTGCTAATACGTAGTCACGTTGCGTTAAATTATACGTAATTATGCGTGAAATACTGAAACGTATAGTGCCACGCGTGCGCGTGAATGGCGCGCACCTAACTGCCTAAAATGTTTCTCTTGTATTTGATTCGAGGCTTTTACGCAACGTTCATTACAGGTTCATTCTGCTACTTGTCAGCTTCTCTCCGTCTACCGTGGCGTGCATTAGTTTTAGAGCTACGCGTGACTGTAAATTGTCGGCACACGTACGTTAAAATATTGATCGATAAAATTGAGTCACAATTTTGTCTAGTTTTTTTTTAGCTTTTGTGCACTCGGCAGGGTCCGCGTTCCACATAGAAATTCATTAAAGCTGGCTTCTGTGTGGCCGCTGTACTTTAGGAATTTGCATGCAGAATATAATGTTTCCATAAAAATGGGCAATGATAGGTTTGATATCGATCACTAGTTTATATCGTATCTAGGAGGCCGCACCCGTTGATATCTTCAAGTTATTATTATTGTTATTATCTACTCTTGATATCTTGCAACGTTTTCTGGCACTCCTCATCTTGAAAAAACAATGGGCAATTTTGAGTGTTATAATTGAAGACATGAAATTATATTCTCATCATATTTAAGAAAAACAATCTTCTGATTATCCAATTCGAAACATAGCACATAATCATAAGTGGTTGTAACTTGTAAATAACTAATATAAAACTTAATTATAGGAATTGTTCTCTTTATGCACCCCGATTTCCCCATTCTTAATTTCCTAACATATATCCGGTGTCGCGCCATTTCAGTTCCTAACGTGTGATTTTCCGCACAGCTTGTCAAAAAACTACTACTTAAGATAATTCTTATGACTGATAACAAAATACACGTATTATTAAACTTTTTGCATAATTTTATAATGAGAAGACAGTAATCCAAGAGAAGTAGTATAAATATCGTCACAAAGTCGGGGAAAATATAATTTTCGTAACTAATCGGCAGATTTGCATCCCTAGAATTGTCATCTCGCACCCGTAGACGGTAGAGGCTTCATGTTTTCATGTTAGATCTTTTCATGTTAGAAGACATGTGTCCTATAGCATAATATCCACCTAACATTACTAAATGGTAGCCGTTGAAATCCAGTGGAAAATGTCCAATATAAAAACGAATAACTGGACATATTGACGTTATTATATATTTATTAGTAAAAACACGCAATCTAAATATATCGCCCCGAAGAATGGAAAACTACACTGCACATAGATCGAAAAATATTTATGGCGAATTAATGCAATAAAATCAGGTTCTTTTTATTTTCTATATTCTTGTGAATACGGCTGCATTGCCGACTGTGAGCATGAATCAGTCGTGCATGATGTAAATGACAAACAGTAGCCTCACTGTTATTATTTATTTTAACTATATTATCTTACACGATATCTATAATGGACGCGTTAGATCAGCTTTCATGGTAACGACGGGAGAATGCTGAGTGTCACTGCAAAATCTGGGTATCGTCGTTTCGATCCATACGCACCTGGCAAATACAGAGAATAAAAGTAGTCAGTGGAGAAATGTGGCAGTAGGAAATAGACAGTCATAAAACACAATATTTGATAAAGTATGGTACATCATAACGTATGTGTAAAAAGTGGCTGCTGCAGTACCAGCAGCAGCAGTAGCAGTACCAGCAGCAGCAGCAGCAGGTGGATGGGCGGGGGGGGGGGTAGTGTAGTAGCAGTAGTAGTATCCTCTCTTTGCTACTACATATACATATATATATATAAACAATATATTTCAAAAAAACAACCCCATTCTTTCTACAAACGG